CATCCATCCACCTATCCCTCCCCTCTATCCATCCGTCCACCCATCCATCCATCCTCAGCCACCTATCCATCCATCTTTCCATCTATCCCTCCTTCCACCCACCCACCCATCCATCCATCCATCCACCCACCCATCCACCCATCCTTCCTTCCACCCGGTGCCGCTGAGGGATGGGGGTCAGGATATGCCTGATAAATAACAGCTGCAGCCTTCCTCCACAACTGGGTGTCTTGCCCCTGCCGGGCCCAGGGCACTTACCAGGTACTGGGGAGTTGCGGTAGCTCAGATGGGGGAGAGATGCCTGCTCATGTGCCTCAGTTTCCCCTGCCTCCCCATGGCCTGGAGCAGGAGAGCCGCCCGCTGAGAGACAGTGTTGGGATTCACAACGGCCTGTGCCCGGGCAGCACCAGGGTGTTCGCCGAAGCCTGTGGAGTGGGATCAGCCCCACAGGAGAAGGGGTGGGATGCAGTAACCTCACCGAGGTGTGGGAGTCACAGTAATGAACATGCGGCAGTTAAATAGTTTAATCACCCAGGAGTCTCTACTGGGTTTTCCTCCAGACGCACACGCACACAGCCCACTAGTAGCCCGCGGCACCACAGCCAGCCGTGGCCAGGGTGCTCAGAAGGGCAGGAGCCCCTGGCTGTGCAGGGTGAGGTGGCCGCCCATGCCGGAGGCCAGCTGGTCGTAGCCGTGCTCCGAAAGCACCAGCGGCAGCGTGCGGTAGATGAACTCCCCGTCCAAGAAGTACGTGTAGAGGACGGCCGCGGCCACGACGGAGCCGGCGAGGAGCTGCAGCCAGATGTAGAGGGAGGCCAGCGTCCTGCGGGGAAAGAGCGATCAGAGAGACTGCGGAACTCCCCACCACTGGATCTCAATGGGGCTCCGAACAGGGACTGGATGTTGATGTGATGTTCCTGGGTTTTGAGGCCATTTGGATCTCACCACATCTCCCTGGCCGGAGATCCCACCCCCACCCGCAGTTAGTTCTGTACCCAGCCCCGTGATGTGTGGTCAAGTTGCAGTGTCGCTTTCAGACCAACACACCCGACCGGATGGACCCCTCGGGCCAGAATCCCAGCGGGCGTCAATCTCTGGAGTCAGCGGCGTGACACCGAAGAGCCGGAGCTGGGGATGCGGCTCCAGAGCCGTGGAGGGTATCAAAACCCTCCTGACGCAGGGCAGGAGCCAACCTCAAACCAATGGGGGTGAGGCAGCATGGGCCCCGATGGGCGGGGTATTCCAGCACCGCCCACTAGGGGGTGTCTTGCACCTCTGTTGGAGACGGGATACCGGGCTCGATGGGCTGATTCCTTTCAGCCATATCCCTATGGACTTGCTGATTAACGGCTGCCAATGGGGAAAAGCCCTGGCATAAATCCAGCAGGGAATAAATGCATTAAATATTTAATCAACAATTAGGGAAATGACTGCACCAGTAATAAACCAAGAAATAATAACAGAGCCATGGCTGGAACCTGCCCTGAATCAACTGAAGAAAGAAAGAAAGAAAGAAGTGATGCAGTCCGGCCACTATATCGTGCATTAACTGATGGCAAGAACCCAGGTGTCCTGACCCCCTGAGATGTGAACACTGGTCTCACCACAGCCAGTAGGTGATGCCGCGTCTCTTCGCCACCAGTCGAGTCTCCTGCAGAATAACCGCCAGCAGAAAGTTTTATTAGCATTTGTATTGCAGCAGGGCCTAGACCTCCACGGAGATCCGGGCCCCTCATTGCATGCTGGGCGCTGCAGAGAAATTGACCAAGATCGATGCCCCGTCGCGCCGGGCGCTCCCCAGACCCCAACCAAGATCAGGGCCCCCTGTCATTCCGGGCGCTGCCCAGACCCCAACTGAGCTTAGAGCCCCCTGTCGTGCCGGGCGCTGCCCAGACCCCAACTGAGACTAGGGCCCCGTTGTGCCAGGCGCTGCCCAGACCCCGACCGAGATCAGGGCCCCATCGTGCCGGGCGTTGCCCATACCCCAACCGAGATCAGGACCCCCCGTCGTGCCGAGTGCTGCCCAGACCCAGAATGAGAGACAGTCCATGCCCCTAAAAGCTCACAGTCTAAACAGACAAGACCAACAACGGAAGGTTTTTCTCTCCCCATTTACACAGACGAGACCCAAGTTCCCAGCCTGGCCCAGGATGATTAGTGACGTCGCTGGGCATGGCTGGGAATTGGCCACTGGACCCGGATTCACAAACCACCAGGCTCCCGATTCCTCCCCCGGGCTGAGCCTGGGCCCTCCTCCCCCGGGAACGTGGTGTCTCACTGCGGGGCAGAATCTCTGCCAGCATCACAGCCCGGCTCTCGCTGCCGAGCCCGGCTCCCTGGCGTTTTGGGGGCCCAGTTCCTTACCAGCTTGGCTTCCACTATCTCGCACAGCAACGAACCGGAGAGATCCTCGCCCTGTTCTAGCTTCTGGCTGTGAAAAGCAAGAGGGAGACGGCGGAAGGCCATGGCGTCGGGTTCCCACTTGGATCTGGTCTTCAGAAGAGGTGAAAGGATCGGGCTCAGTTGGAAACGTATTCCTCAAAGATCGGTGGGCAAAGACGAA